TCCTTTTCGTATAAAATTCCTCTAAATTTTGACTAAATGTTTAAAATTTTCAGCATCGACTAATACACGAAATTGTGCGGTATATAGTATTAACCTTGTTTATGATATATTAATTTAGAAAATTCTTCTGCTTACGACGTAGCCTCACCGATCAAATAATTTTTGAAAAGTGCCTTTAAGCGAAATCCTTGTATTAAATTCCTCTAAACTCTGCCTAAATAATTACATTTTCAACATCGACTAATACGCGGAATAGTGTAGCATATAATTGTAACCTTATTTATGATCTATTAAATGTAGAAAAATCTTCCGCTGATGGAGTAACCTTGCCGATCAAGGATAGTTTGAAATTTAACCTTAATCGAAATCCTTGTATTAAATTCCTCTAAACTCTGCCTAAATAATTACATTTTCAACATCGACTAATACGCGGAATAGTGTAGCATATAATTGTAACCTTATTTATGATCTATTAAATGTAGAAAAATCTTCCGCTGATGGAGTAACCTTGCCGATCAAGGATAGTTTGAAATTTAACCTAATCGAAATCCTTGTATTAAATTCCTCTAAACTCTGCCTAAATAATTACATTTTCAACATCGACTAATACGCGGAATAGTGTAGCATATAATTGTAACCTTATTTATGATCTATTAAATGTAGAAAAATCTTCCGCTGATGGAGTAACCTTGCCGATCAAGGATAGTTTGAAATTTAACCTTAATCGAAATCCTTGTATTAAATTCCTCTAAACTCTGCCTAAATAATTACATTTTCTCAACATCGACTAATACGCGGAATAGTGTAGCATATAATTGTAACCTTATTTATGATCTATTAAATGTAGAAAAATCTTCCGCTGATGGAGTAACCTTGCCGATCAAGGATAGTTTGAAATTTAACCTTAATCGAAATCCTTGTATTAAATTCCTCTAAATTTTGACTAAATTTTTAAAATTTTCAGCATCGACTAATACACGAAATTGTGCGGCATATAGTATTAACCTTGTTTCTTTTATTAATTTAGAAAAGTCTTCCGCTTTAAAAAAATTAACGAAATTCGTGCCACTTTTCGTTATTGCGCTCTCATTTAGAACATTACTCTGACGTCAGCGATGTAAAAATAGACTCCATGATGCTAAATATATAAAAAAAAACTTTAATTTGTGAAAAAAACGTTTGCAATCTAGTTCAATGTCAACAAACAATTATATATATATATAAATATGTGTGTGTGTGTGTGTGTGTGTGTACAGTCTATTGAACCGATTTAAACTCACGAACGATGACGAGAAATGTTGTCTTTTCAATGAATGTCTACATTTAAACGCGAGCGTGTCTTTTATTTTAGTTCTGGATGAAAAGAAAGATCCGGTATACATTCACGTGCGACATGACGTCATCGACAAGGTCTCTGACGTTGGAAATTTCTTGAAGCTCTGCAGAAAGAAATTAAGTGTTACTCGTGGGTGTGTGCGGGGTTTAAAATTCGCTTTCTTTTTTTAAAGAAATGAATGGCATCTATTAGGGTACCTAAGCGGCTCTTCTAAAACAACGTATTTTAAATATTATAAATATTTTTTTGAATTTAAAGTTTGGTTCTAATTGAAGTCTAATAAACTATTACATTCACTTACGTGCTAAAACCCTTGGAAAAGGTATGAATCCTCATCTTCTGCAGGGCAGACTGGGTTCTATAGCCTTGGTTGGCAACCGGTCTAGGAGAAGAAATAACTCTGAATCCAAAACCGGCCTGGAGAGGGCTGAGCTCTGCCAGGCCATATTGCCCAAGAAACACCACTTCTACTGCGGCTGAATTATACATGGTGCACCTACGAACTTACGGGTCACGAGATAAAAAAAAAAGGTTAATCTATAAAAAAATGAAAATTTATTTTACGTCCTTAAATAAAGATTTTAGATATTTTTAAACCACCAAAGTAAAATTAAACCCACTTCTACCCAGTTCGATTATCGAATCTGATGGACGCCAGCAACAGCGAAATTAAAGCATTATCAATTTTCTCTTAACTTTTCCAAATATGTGTTTCAAGAAATATAGTGAATTAATAATTAATTCATTTTCTATATTGTTACTTCTTGTGCTTTTCTTTGTTCTAACGCTAACCCTGTCCATAATAATGTTTTTCTTCTTCCCGTAACCTTTCACGCTCAGAAGCCTTATGCGTCTTAGTGGCTTAATTGCCTTCACTAAAACATACATGCAATCCAGATTAGAGCAAAGGCTGAAAAGATGCACGGAGACAAAAAAAAAAAAAGAAAAAGATAAGAACAGAGGCATGCTCCAGTCTTTCCCTTTCTCTAAACAAATTTACCGGTTTTATGACCACTCAAGGAAAGGAACATTTTTCGACCAGTCCAAAATGGTTTCAGATAACTACAATTACACACAAAAGATAATGGTTAAGACATTCAAGATAGGAAGTAAAAATAAGTTCTTTTAAATAATATGTGAAAATGAACATTCTTCGCCTGATGATGGTCACAAGACCCAGAAACACGTGTAGGGAAATATACAGAATAAAGTGTACTTTTCTCTCGTTGAAACAACAATGATCTCTCCCTCATATATATATATATATATATATATATATATATATATATATATATATATAGGGAAAGGTTATTGTTGTTTCAACGAGAGAAAAGAGTATATTTTAAATATATATATATATATATATATATATATATATATATATATATATATTATTATTATTATTATTATTAATTAAAGTATATCAAACACTTAAAATCTTGTTGATTCCATATCCTCCTGGAAATTCCATACGGATTACCATACTGTATCATTAGTATATATATATATATATATATATATATATATATATATATATATAATGAATACAGAAACCTTAAAAATCCATCAGATGGTAAGAAATTTATTCCAAGATGATGGTACCGCTGGTTAAAATGACTGGAAAATTTCAATGTATCTATTTTGAATAAGATCAATCTGTTCACCCACACTGATGTTTTGGGTTTATTTTTTAACTTGTCACGTCCCAGAAGAAAAAGTCTTTACTGGGTCACCCTGTCTACTATGTTTAATTTCCTCTTTTCCTTTCTTTTCCTTTCTTTCCCTCTCTCACTCTCATTTTCATCTCCCCACACCATGTCTATATCTATTTCTCTTTCACCCCACAAAACCTTATATTGAGATTTTTTTTCCACTTTTTTTTTTCTCTTTTCTCTCTTTTTCTTCCTTTGTTTTCCTTTTCCTGGTTTTTGAATAAATTGAAATCCATGTGTTAATGAAAAGTGATCTGAAGACATGGACATGAGTCCCATGAAATAAATTTAATTCCACCTGACCTGATGGATTTTTAAGGATTCTCTATTCCTTATTATATTGGTCTGTTCTTGTATTGAGCTCTCTGAGGATTGATATCCTCTCTGGAATTATCCCTAATAATCATCAATTGATATATATATATATATATATATATATATATATATATATATATATATATATATATATATATATATGTACCAAGTATATGATTGGTATATACGGAATGAATTCCAATAACCAACAATTACTATTCTGAAAAGAGTGCTCAATACAGAGTAGAATTTTCCTATACTTTTGTAGCAACGTTTTCCCCTTGGGAAGGATCTTTAATTAATTTCAAGCTTATAAAACCCTTTATTTTACATTCAACATCATCACTTGATAAGACACCGGGGGTGTTGAAACAAAATGGCTATTTTTGTAGGGATTTTATAACATATTTAAGTTATAATTTTTTTTAAAATAATTATATATATATATATAGTTTTAATGTGTGCTATAGTTATGGGATAAAGTGTTCAGTATCAGAGACAGAGCGTATGTAAATATAAATATAAAAGTGAACATTGAAGTCAACTGTCAGAGGCGACAGGCTGAAGTGTTGACTTCAATGTTCACTTATATATATATATATATATATATATATATATATATAATCGTATTACATTTTGTATTGCTAATAACGGAGGACATGTGGAAACTTCAATAAAACCTTAAAAATATAGATTTACGTCTTTCTAATCCTTTTTTAAAAATTATTTCTATCGCAAATACAAATAAAGTTATAAACTTTCTAAAGCGCACACGAACTTTATGGACATCCTATATATATATATATATATATATATATATATATATATATATATATATATATATATTTAGAAGCAATTTATCCATACGAAGGGAATACGTCGAACGTCTTTCAAATATTAAATAATTGTATAGCATTAGATTTTATTGTTTGACGTCACAAATCTAAAAATTCTCTCCTTCCTGCTAAATATACAGTAAATATTTTACGTAGAAACCTTTGCAATCTATTTCAGTCCTTAAAGTTCAATGTCAATAAGCAAATAAATATACAAATGCGTATTTGTGCGTGTCTATAATCACATATCTACGTAAACTCTCTAATGATGACGAGAATCACTGTCTTTTCAATAAATGTCTGACTGCTTTTAAAAGCGAATATGTCTTTTTTTCTCTCTCTCTCTCTCTCTCTCTCTTCTGGATCAAAAGCGATATCCGGCATAAGTTCACGTGCAACGTGACGTCACTGACGAGATCTTTGACGTCGAGAGTTTCAGTGTGCGTGAAGGAATGGAAGAGGCGGATATTTAGAGAGAATTGTCAGATGTACACATAGAAAATAGCAGCTTATTGTATGATATGGGGCCTTTATTCCTTTATATTATATTCTTTTGCATCTGTGTTGCTCTTTCTGTATTTGTGTGAGCATAAATAGTTCAGCCATTGTTCCTGTGTATTTAACGAAACCGCACAGGTGTACTACTTATTTTCAATATCGTAAATTATTTTTGGTACCTATTGAAATTTCTCACACAATAAAATATATTAATAAATAAGTTCAGTAAGAACAAGAACGTTTGCACATTTTCAGTAATAACTCAGGATTCTCTAAATTGTAAAATGCTTGCTTCTCAGGTTTTCAAATTCTATTTGATTTAAGATAGATAAAGAACAGTAATACACAGATAGATAACAAAAGAGATAGATAGATAGATAGATAGATAGATAGATAGATAGATAGATAGATAGATAGATAGATATACAGTAAATGAGATAGATAAATAGACAGATATGGAATGAATGAATGATATATATATATATATATATATATATATAGATAGATAGATAGATATGAACCGACTGAGATAGATATCGAAAAGTGATAGATAGATAGATAGTGATAGATAAACCGATAGATAAGGAAATGTGATAAATTTAGAGACAGATAAGGAAATAGAGATAGATAAATAAAATAGATATATAAATAGATAAGGTAAAAGTAATTATATAAGAAAAAGAGATAGATAAGGAAAAGTAATAGGTATATAGCTATATAGATAAGGGATATATAAGGAAAAATGATAGATAGGGAAAAGTGATAGATAGATAGATAGATAGATAGATAGATAGATAGATAGATAGATAGATAGATAAAGAAAAGTGATGGATTATTAGATAAGGAAAAGAGATAAATAGATAGATCGATAGATAGATAAAGACAAGTGTGAGATAAGAACAATAGATAAGGAAAAAGATATAGATAAAACATTGATAGATATATAAATAGGTAAGTATAAGACATATATAGAATACAGTATATATATATATATATATATATATATATATATGTATTATATATAAAATAATGATATATATATATTATATAAAATAATATATATTATATATTAATATATACAATATATATATAAATATTTCATAATATAATATATATGATATATAATATATATATTTATATATATATATATATATATATATATAAAAAATATATATATATATTTTTTATATATATATGATATATATATATATATATATATATATATATATATATATATATAATATAACATACAATATATTTTTTATATATAAGTCTACTATTCGTCTATGCTTAGAAAATTTGCCTTGAATTCCTTAATAAGATCCACGTTATATTGTCATTAGTTTATGTGAATATAGGCTTCGATAAGATATGATAGTTCGAGAAAAACCATGGGAAATTTGTTGTTTAGAAACTGTCATTTGACTTTGCTAACTGGGCGTGACCTCTGTAGCTAAATCGTATAGCCTGTTGGAAAATTCATGCCGGTAAACGAACTTAATACTCTTTATTATAAACAGACCATTTACTTAATGTATTTTTAAAAATAACATATCAGCAGTAAATATATTTTAACTAACTGTGGGGTTTAGTCCATTTCATTTATTATATATATATATATATATATATATATATATATATATATATATATATATATATATATATATATATATATATATATATATATATATATATATATATATATATATATATATATATATATGTATATATATATATATATATATATATATATATATATATATATATATATATATATAATAATTCATGATGCGGTTCTATGACGTCGTACCACCTGAATTGAGGAAATATTAACAACAGAACCTTATTTTTAGTTTCAATGTCGTGCGTTGTGATTCGTTACATTGCATCTAAACATATTTATTTTGGGATATTAAACCATGCTATAAAAATCGCTATACAATTACAGTTATGTTTCTGCACCATAAATGTGTCTCTTCAGGCGATGTAAACTACTGCCGAGTGATGGATTAATTTGATTTTAAAAAGCAGGCAGAAAACTTAAGAAAGAAATAGACTCCTGCGCTTTGCCGTGATTGTCCAATCGAATGTAACTTACTCTAAATTCAAATTCATAATATCTTGTTCTGCTATGTATTGAGACATTTTTTAAATACGTACAGTGTAATCATACTTTACTTGTTCTCCTTTTACACACACACACACACACACACACACACACACACACACACACATATATATATATATATATATATATATATTTATAAACAGACCACTTTAAGGTTCTATTATAATAATTTATTTCACCAGAGCACTTTTAAAGGACGCCGGATCATCAGATAGCACTTCCAAAAGATAAAACGAAAAATGAAATGAAAATTCACACTTTTGATGGGTAGTGTAAGTTTTTTTTTTTAATTTAACAGAGAGGGTAATGAGGAGTGGTTAGAGAGACATAGTCGAGTTTAGAGAGGGTTTATTTTAATATTTATTTCAATCATACTTAGTATTGGGGGATGAGGGACCAGACCTTGAGCTATTTAATCGGTTAACTTAACGGAAGTGATATATTGTAATGGGAGGGGAGAAGAGAGAAAAAGAAAAAGAAAAAAGAAAGATGGGGGTAGTAAAGAGAAAGAGGCTGTTAATAGCTTTTACGTAGGAAGGAGAGGGGTGCTATATTTTTAGCAATTTATGTAAAAAATAGATTTTAATGTTTGATAGTAATTTAGATGTCCAAAAAAAAACTCCACGAAGAAATTAATTTGATACTTGCTTGCTTATATATAAGTGAACATTAAAGTCAACACTCAGAGGCGACAGGCTGTCTCATGATAGACGCAATCATCAGCCTGCGAGTGTTGGATTTTTTCTCGACTATTTATATATATGGTTCAGTGGTGCATTTTGGGCAATACATTCTGGCGGTTATTTTGGCGGGAGTGGCTTCAATGTTCACTTTTATATTTATATTTACATCACTCTATATCTGATATTTAGCTCTTTATCCCATAAATACTGTATACTTGAAAACCTGTCTATATCTCTGAGATGAGGTATTATGATTACTTGCATTATTTACATTATTCGGACTGATATCCTCATCTTCATTGCCATATTCACGACGTTTCGGCCGTTGTATGCTTCGACCTTTATGTCTATGTCTCTCTATATATCTGTCTATATCTCTGTCTGAGATGAGGTATTATGATTACTTACATTATTAACATTATTCGAACTGTTATCCTCATCTTTATTGCCATATTCACAACGTATCGGCCGTTGTACGCTCCGGCCTTTATGTCTATGTCTCTCTATATATCCGTCTATCTCTCTGAGATGGGGTATTATGATTACTTGCATTATTTACAATATTCGAACTGTTATCCTCCTCTTCATTGCCATGTTTCTAACGTTTCGGCCGGTGTACGCTTCGGCCTTCTTCATGTGATTGGTATTTCGTACAACGGCCGAAGTGCTGTGAATATGGCAATGTGGATGATTATACCAGTCCGAATAATGTAAATTATGCAGGGAAACTGAATTTTTATTTTTATATCACATTTTCTTTTGTGATGAAAACTGGGTTTAGCATTTCAGCAGAAAATGAAAAAAAAATATAGTGGTTTCCCGAAATAAAAATACCACAACCTACCACCACAACCAGGACCCAGTCTACGGATATCTTTGTTTTTCTGTCTCGTGGAATATGAAATCCGTTGTCCATTACATGCTTGTTGAACATGTTTGAATCCCTACAGACGATTATTACCAGCAAATTGATCGTGTAAATAAAGCATAAAGTTTAAAGTCATTTTTATTTATTTATTTAAGCCTTTTAGCCAAGCAACGCATTAGTGCCACTAGCACGCAAGGTGTTACAGAGGGTGAGAGCAAAAGTAAAGAGTGGTATTTGAGGAAAGGATAAAGCGAAGGACGGGAAACAAGATCAAGGTATCAGAAGATGTCGGTTGACATTATACTTGAAGATTTGAAGATTATAGCTATCACGGAAGGAAGTAAGAGGAAGGGAGTTCCAATATCGGGAAGTGCGAGAGAAGAAGTTGTTGGAGTAGAAGAGACGTCTACATTTAAACGTTTCAACATTGAGAGGCTGGGAACGAAATGCCATCCTAATAACAAGACCTTCACAGCCAGGACCCGCCAGGACCTGCGCACTCACCTTCAATCCTTTCATGTGGATGAGAAGGAAGTTCCACAGCTTCTCCCCTAGAACTTTTACTTTGTGGAACAGACTCCCAATCTTTTACTTCCCCGATCACAACGATCTGAACCTCTTAAAATCTAGGGTCAACTGTTATCTATCCTACATATTTTCACAATATGTATCTCTTAAACCGTCCTTCTGCGTCCTCATTTAGTAAACTCTTGGGTGGCTCTTGGGCCTTTTATTGAGTGATTAATGGTTTTGAAAAAAAGGTGTTGTTCTCCGGAGTTTCAATGCAAGTTCAATCTCTACAAATCCAATCCAGGTAAAAGTTAAGACCTTTAAGGTTGGGGGTTCGCCCCCACACTATATTACAGATGACCACTCGTATTCGAGGATACCCGTCTACTAGGGTGGCTAGCTAATCTCTCTTGCAGCCGCTTGCTCAGGTGCATTTGTGTTTATTCAATATTCACAGAGTCTACCTGTGGTTTATACTGCAACTATGCTGAGCAGACCTTAGTTACAGTTTCTGGAAGAGAGCGTGTTATCTAGCATGATCAACCGTTTGAACAAAGCCAGCACACTCAATCCCTCGGCCACGATGACTTGTGACTTCGTGCTAGTACAGCTATTGACAGCGCCCAAGGGCTCTATCTACCCAATTTCACTCTCAAGGTCAACTCGTAGTATGGTTTTTAGGCACTTTCCAAAGGTGCCGCACGCTGGGATCGACCCCTTCACTCCGATTACATCGGGAAGTTTCCTTCCTAACAAATTGATCATGGTGGGATTCGAACCTGGGTCTCATGGTTAGAATACGAACGTTCTAACTACTCGGTCGCACGCTATAACCCCACCTTCTATAAAACAACAGATATAGCAACAACAGATTTTCGTTTCTATCGACCAATGGAACAAAAATATATTTTGTGACGTTAAAAAAACTGCAAAAGCTTGATAAGACGTAGAAAAAGAATCAATCAATTGGTAAGTTGATTTTTTTTTTTTTTTACTATGGCCTTGTGCTAAACAGAAATGTTTTTGACTGTGGCCTTGTGCTAAACTAATGTTTTTGACTGTGGCCTTGTGCTAAACAGTGATGTTTTTGACTGTGACCTTGTGCTAAACAGAAATGTTTTTGACTGTGACCTTGTGCTAAACAGAGATGTTTTTGACTGTGGCCTTGTGCTAAACAGAGATGGTTTTGATTGTGGCCTTGTGCTAAACAGAAATATTTTTGACTGTTGCCTTGTGCTAAATGGAAATGTTTTTGACTGTGGCCTTGTGTTAAACAGAAATGTTTTTGATTGTGGCTTTGTGCTAAACAGAGATGTTTTTCACTGTGGCCTTGTGTCAAACGAAGATCTTTAATTAACAATACTAACACGGTTCATTTTTTACCGTGATGTTTGTGAAGAACTCGCTTCTTTCTGAAGTTTTTAAAAAGTGACGTCAGAAATCTAAAATTAGACGCAATCATGCTAAATATAAATTCTTGATTTACGTATAAAGATTCGCGTGCTATTTCTATTTTTGATTTCAGTGCCAAGACTGAAAGTTCAAAAAAAATAAAAAATAAAAATAGAAAAAAAAGGCAAACAAAAAAAAAATCCAATTGTAGAAGCAGGAAAGATGTAAAGAATGGTTCTTTTCAACGAATGTCGGTTGGCTTTTAAAAACGAAAACGTCATTTTTTTCCTTTTGTAGAGTTCACGTGAGTTGTGACGTCATCGAACGAGATCTTTGACGTCTCGTGTTTCGG